TGCCATGATGTAACAGAATGAAATCTTGTGGTAATATATGGCAAATTTTTCTAAACATTTTCAAAAAGACGCATAAAATAAGTGAAAAATGTGCAACATTTTAAAATTTTTTTTACTTAACAATCAAACGTTCTCTGAAGCTAAAACACATATCATTTTATAGCTAAGGTGTTTATCTGTAGAATGGCATATCTCTCAGCTCTCTATATTGAACATTTCTATGAAAAGCTGTGATTTTTTCAAAATATGGTACTTTTCGCTACTATTAAAATAAAATGCTTATAACTCTTGAAGGATTGAACGAGAGCACGAATGGTTTTCAGATTCGCAATCAGCATCCTTAAATTATCAAAGTGGAGTACATTGCTTTGAAATCCCATGGAAACACCTGGGGACCTTCCCTCGTAAGAAGAGATTATCGAACATTCATCGTATAGATATAAATACATACTTTAAACTACACCCCGATCACTTATCTAACAAAAAAACCTGTTAATTGTAAAATGTTTTATCTATTTTCAGGTTGGAATATGGATCATATTGTTATTCAACAATCATTTTATATTACATTTATATGGTCACTAATCTTTTTAATTCTATCATTGTTTTTGTTTAACTTTAAACGTACATAATTTTTTCATAGTCACTTGTGTTTTCCACTTACTAATACATATACACTTGTACTAATTCACTCCATTGTTTCGACTAGATATTTAAACAGATGATAAGTTTTGTTTAGCGTATTTAACAGATAAATAATTTATTTTTGTATGCAATTATTTTGTTTATACGTTCCTTGTTATAGAAAAAATATATGATAGAACAATTTTGTTATCTACATCTCTACATCCCTCAAGCGCATATCTATTAATCAAGATGAATAATTATTTTCGACTGATAAGGATGTTTTTAAATTAATTTATTATTTACAAAAAAGATGTTGTCTGAAAATATCAGATAATAAATAGTGCAAAGATATCTCTTCTTACTTTTGGGAAAATCTTTCTAAAGTTCTATAGCACAGTGTGCAATAACGTGGACATTAGGGGAAAAAACGAAAGTGAGTTTTTCCAGGATTCAATTAGTGACCAATATGCACTCCAAAATGCCCGATTTAATGGTGAAAAAATTTTGATCCAAGTACTTAATTTCGCCGAGAAAAGTAAGTCATGATTTTAGTAGTTTTTGCGCATTTCGTCGGAAAAAACCTTTTACGGCGGAAGAACGCAAACATAAAAACATAAAATTGATATATTGTGAAAGAGGATGAGTTAGGCTATCGATTCATAAAAATTTTTTTGGAATTAGCCGGCTTTGGGCGGAAGAATTGTTTATTTTTTTCTTTGGTAGGAGCTTCCGAAAGCGATGCGTTTGGGAAAGTCAGCGCCCCCTCCACATCCCCGCTCCGTTTTCGATGAAACTTTCAGCAATTGTTCCTCTATATGTGGTTTTTACGTCTATAGGAAATGCACAAACATGCGCAAATGCTTCTAAGCGGTGTTGCAGATTTTACAAAAAACGTCAGTTTTCAGTGGTTTTTCGAGATTTTTTGCATTTTATGATACTCTAATTGAAAAAATAAGGACATATTCGGAATCAGCGTAAAAAACTGATTCGGATGACGGCTTTTTTTTATCAAGCTAAAGGCAGTGGCTGATTTTGATATGATACATCACATAAAACAACGGCAGATAGAGCAAAGAACATTTCTTAAAACTGGTTATTCATATTAACTGTATTTGAACTAACGGAGAAATAAGACGCGAAGGAAGCTTCACCAGATTGAGCGCATTTTAAAAGATTGCAGCTTTGATTTGAACATACTGCAGCATTATTAATTGATTTTAGCATTAAAAACCCTAAGGTTTTCTAGAAAACCCTTTTCGAACAATTTTATGATGTTGAAAAGTAGTTTATGTAAAGAGTGCAGTTGAAAAATTATAAAAAATAATCTATAAGTGAATTGACCGTATATTTATGATTTCTGGCCCTCAAAACCACTATGGTTTTCTAGAAAACACTTTTTGAAAACCTTTACGAGCCTGAAAAGTATTTTATGAGAAAGAGCGTAGTCGAAAATCTATAAAAATATACTTTTGGCTGGAATAGACTAGGCGAACATGACTTTTTTTCAACAATAAACGTTTCAAAAATCGTCGTAGCAGCAATGGAAGCTGAAATTCTTGATCGGAAATTTTTTCTCAGAAAGTCATTATTTTATACATCATTCAATGCTGTTTTTTCTGCTGATTCCCAATATGCCATTGGTTATTGTTATAAAATCTTATCTAACCGAAAAAAACAATTTTACCTGAAAAACTGTGAGATTCTAGGAAACTCACTGAACGGTGCAGGAAAGAGGACGCTAGTTTTATGGACGTAGTACATACAGAAATCCGTTACCACTTGCTATCAACGGAGAACTTGAAATCCGTTACTTGGTAACTGATAACTGTTCTACACATATATAAAGGCTTGAAACGATGGGAAAAGTGCAGACGAAACAAAGAATGATAAATAAAATAACAACCACAAGATCGGCGTCGTCATCCTTAATCCCACCATCACAAAAGCAAACAATGGACAGAAAATCAAAATTAAATTCGTTTCTACAAAAATGCGTCGTACAGTCGACGACAGTGGTCACCCTATCGCTTTAGTCTTCAATACAAACAAAAAACAAAACAAGGACTTTCTCTGTATCATATAATAGATAAAACTAATCATAATGTGTCATCTTTCGGGTCTGAACATGCGAAGAATTTTTACTTCTGCTAAGTCTGATGAAAATTATCTTCCAGTACCGGCTACCAATGTTTCAACTGAAAGAACTTTCTCAGTCACCGGGTATTACTAATAACTCAAATATCAAAGATTATGGTCCGCTAATTAGTCTAGACAAACTTACAACTTTCGTTTTTTAAAAACGTCCACATCATTGCTTCTCTTTCCTTGTCCGAACAAAAACTATGGCCTTTTTCTCATACAATGTGCTGTGAATAGAGGATATTGATTATGAACAAAATAACGATGTCAAAACAGTGAGAAACTGGTAAAAGATTAATATTAAGAACTTCATTTTCGATTTTCCAAAACTATCAGAAGCAGATCTTCATCAGAAAAATATACAGAGAAATGAAAAACCACTAAATTTTATCACTATTCTAAGTTTCAATGGTATTTGCATTTACGGCTTCTTCTGCTGCTTGAGCTGCTGATGCTTCATCGCTCTAAATGGCAAAAAGTCGAAATAAGCAAAATTTTCTATAAAATAAGAGGCTATTACACTTACAAGCACCGTTTTTCTATCACGTTTTCGTTTTTCTTCTTCAATTATTTTCCAAAAATCTTTTTCAGCTTTTTCAATTGGATCAGCTTCTTTTAATTCACTCTCACCTCCTTCATGTTTTTCACCTTTCTGCATATAAATGAAAATATAATTAATATAGATACAAAGAAAACTATGATTTCACCCACTTCTCCTGCCGCTGATTTTCCTCGTACATTTTGTCGTGCACGTCCACGTGCTTCAAGAATTTTTGCACGACGTGTTTCACGATCAAACATCTAAAAAAATGGTTCATAATTTGTTTTTGCGCAACTTTTATAAATTTATAAAACTTACTCCAGTTACAAGTGCTTTTTCATTTCTTCCTTGTATACAAAGATTATCGGATACTTCTAAGAGTGTAACTGTTCCGTTTTGAGAGCCACATGCAATAAGTCGTCCTTGAGGCTCTTGAGTACGTAAGCAGTGTAATGGTTCATCAACAACCTGGGAAACATAAAATGGATAATTCAAATGTTCACAAGAAGAGAATATGCACCTGTATGGATAAAGTTGGTTCATTTTGTTTAAATAAAATATCCCATACATCAACTGTACCTGGAAGTCAAGAAAACGGATTAATAGAAAAATACATAATAAATACGACCTACCATCCATTTTTGTGGTAAAGAAGACGGCTGATCGTGTTGGTGACCATTGTGCATCCGTCAAAGCGTACATACTGGGTCTAAAAGTGAGAAAATTTTATTTATCAATCGGATGACGTAAGTATTAATATTGGACTTCTGAAACAGATATAAATCATATTTACTTTGTCCACATAATGCAATCATCACGTATATCTTCTGACCAAATTCTTGCTGTCCAATCGCCAACTGAGAGAAAATTTTTTGAAAAACCTGGATGTCTTTGTAAGGCGTAAACGGGTCCCCAATGACCCGGGAATATATTGCCAATTTTTTCCGCGTCACTCTTTCCTTTACGATTACAACTGATAATTCGACCTTGTTCAGTACCGACCATAAATTTTGTTGGCTAAAAAACGTAAATAATTTAATGCAGATATCTGAATGCGATACGACGTGAATATCACTTACAATTGTCGGTTCATATTCAAGTGACATTGCTCCCAGTGCACTTTCAAGACGTCCTTTTTTTTCTACATCTAATATTAGTGTTTCCACTGGTTCAGTTAATTTTTTCGTATCCCACCATAATATCTTAAATAAAATGAGATTATTTCTATTATTAACTCAAAGTTAAAATCTTGCACACCTACTTTTCCATCTGTTGAACCGGAAAAGAACTCAGTGCCTGATTTCGATTGTAACCAAATTGTTTTATAAGCTGGATCACGATGACTATTTTCTATTAATGATTGCTCAACAGCTGTACTCCCTTTTCTTGTATCAAATATACCTAAAATGAAGGTACCAACTCATATTTTAAACTTCAGTCAGTTTTTTAGGCATAACCTCACTTACAAACTTGTCCATTATAACATCCACCAACTAACTGATGAGTATCTTTTGGATTAAATTCGACACAAACAAGTGGAGATATGGGTTTTAAGAATAAATCAGGTTTTGTGGGATTTTCTAATATTAAGAGAAAATGAAAACAAAATAATATAACTCTGAGATCGAAGACTGGATTGTCGACAATGCTCTCTCTATACATTCAATAAAACATTGTAGCATGCAACTCAAATAAAAACATGAATGAAATAAGTTAGCATACTTACCGATATCCCAAATATAAGAATCGATGTAAGAATCACCCGTCGATGGTTGAAATTCAAGGTTACAGTATGAAACAGCTATTTTTCTTGCTCCATCTGTAAACCAACTAATATGGTTCGCCGTACGTTTGACTGCATGTGGATCTCTAAAAGAAATTCGATGATTTGTTTCTAGTTTTTGAAGCTGAATCTAGTGAAAAAATTGACTCATGGGAAAAATTTATCGACTTCTTGTTTGTGGTTACGCATTGAAAATGAATGGATGTATGTGTATAACTACGCGTAGAAAATCGTAACATCATGTAATAGACTACTATCTATTTCTTAGGATTGTACAAGTACAGATGTGTGAGAGATTTTCCTCACGTAGACACCTTAAATCAATAATTTCATGAAAATTTTCGCATCATCCTGAATCATACCATAGAAAATATTTAATGAACAACTCTTTACCGATAAATATTGATGGTTTTTGCGTATGGTGCTTCTTCTACAACATCTGGTTCAAGATTTTGAAAATAATTTTCATAAATATCAATTGCATTATTTTGCTTTATTGTATGTTCAATGGACTGAAACGAAAAATAGTCACTTAAAACTCATCTATATCAATTTTTTGGTGAACATACTTGTCCAAGTGATAATATAGCTCGTCCATAACCATCTTCTTTCTCTGTTTTTTTTCGAAATCGTGATGTTTGATCTGGTTCAAGTGGATTCACATCTTTTGGCCAACCACCTTCAACATGATTGACACCTTTATTTTCTGTTTCAAAACGATTTGTATTTACCTGTAAAGTTAAACATGTCTAGGTGTAACACTACAAATGTTAGTCGTTTTCGTTTCTCACCCAATGTTCCGAAAATTCTCGCACATTTTGTATTCCAATCTCAACTGGATCTCGAGCAATATAATCTTTCAATAATTCAACATTTGGTTGAATATCCGCAATTACCTCAACAGGACGGTCACTGAAATGAACTTGACGGCCAAATTCTGATCGTTTTTTAGTGTAGACGTATTGAATATCCATCGTCTACAAGAAATATTGTCCAAAAATTCAAAATTCTACCTTGGGAGAATATGAAGCGTGAGATTTATCCGATACGTTTTGAACTGTCTTGGAAGATACGAGAACACTTGCACTGACGAAAGATACAATGTTTTCTTTGTTGTTGCCCTTAGACAGATCAATCCTACTTAAAAACGTGCAAATGACCTGTGAAGAGTGTTAACTAGTAAAAATAATCTTTCAATAGAATGTCAACTACAGAGTTTGGTCTGCTCATATGGTCTGTTCACAGAATGGTTTCTACTGGAAATCAGATGTATAGAAACACTAACAGCTCGAACAGAGAACAGCTGTGCGACATTCGAAAATCTTTACTAGACAGTTGCTAGGATATCACCACTTAAATTTCCATAAATTTTTAATGGTACACCATTGGTATATCATCAGTTTATTAATCAATTATCAGTTGTATTTGTAGAAAAACTGCTGAGAAGATTTTACAAAACAATAGCAGAGTACGTAAATAGATGTCGCTATGTCGCTCAAGAATTCTTAGAGATATCAACTATTGAACGAACATACTCCTGCATCTCAACTATTTTCAAGAACACTGTTCAAGATATATATTTTTTAAATTGACAACGACTGCAGAACAAAATATTGTTTGTGTCAGCAATAGCTTTCACGATATTTTCCCGATATAATATTATATTAGAGAAATTTATTGCGGGTTGTAAAGATGTTGTTGAGGCTTATTTGGCCAGTACTACAGAATAGAGTCCTGCAGGTCAGGATAGATTGAGATTACGACTTCGCAGGTTAGGACAGATTATAAATTACGTACAAATTTACAGGACAGGTAACCTGTTTTCAACCTGCAAAAAAAATACACTGAGCGTCATCTGTAAAGAGAAGAAAAGAAGAGGCTCCAACGATGGTATTGAAGAAGCGTGAGTTGATAACTCAAGATGTTCTGCAAGAACTCACTGATAAAGGAGGATCAAATTCTGATGGTGATGATGAAGATAGATGCGAAGATAGTTGTTGAATTAAGATGTTGTTGACGATATATTGTTGATCAGAAATTTAGAGATAAGTGTTCGTTTGTTATTGTTCTTTTATGCATAAATAGAGTAAATAAAAAGGAGAAAAAATAAGCGTACTAGAGTTTTGAAGCAATTTTTTTCGCAGGATAGGACAAGACAGGTTACGAAAACAAATTGCACGTCAGGACTGGTTATAAGTTGTGAGAGTTTTTACAGACAGGTTACAGGTTATGAAAAATTGTAACCAGTAGGACTCTTCTACTACAGAAGCGTCGTCATTTATTAGAAATGCTGTTCAAACATATTTGAATCGTCATGTTCGTGCATTTACTCTATGTGGTCAAGTATTGGCCAAAGATCCATTATCATTGGAGAAAGCAAAATCGTTTCTTGAACGAGCATTAAATCTAAATCAGACATATGTTGAAGCTGTTGTATCATTAGTTGAAGTTTATAATCAATTAAAACAATAAAATAAAAGTGTTGAATTGTAAGTTTCCCGTGACTATTCTTTCATGAATATAATATAACATAACATCATGCTTAGATTGAAAGAACATTAATTATTTTCTTCTGTCAAAAACGTTTAGGGAATATCTACCGAAGACATTTAAGATTAGCTGACTGAACTATATTTCATGAGAATAATTTAACACGTTTCTTACGCTATTCATAAATAAATCTTCTTTAACTAGTCATTACTGCATGCTTTTAAAACATAACTTATGTCAAGACTCAAACAAACTTTGAAAAAAAGATAAAAGGGATAGGCAGACTAAGTTCGATTCGACTAAAAGTTAAACGTCAACACAATGATCAATCGTTGTCGAAAAACAAGCTGCTGTTTATTTGTTAATTCTACAAAAATTCTCGTCACATTCTGTGCATTGTTTCTTCCATAGCCCATTTTATCCTGCTTTAAGAAGACAGCATGAGAGATTATCGTTTTCTTTATTTTTTTGAGATTATTTACGGTATATTTGTTTTCTTTCACATATTCGATCCTTAAAATAAAAAATAGACAAAAAAAAAGAAAAGAAATAACAACAAGAAATAAGAAAAACAAATTTTTTTATTGCATCTAAAACCAGTATTAAATATATATGTATTATTAAAAGAAAAATACTCACGCTCACATTTAAAGAAGTTCTAAGCGCACAATCGTACTCAGTCCTAATGTATCAAAAATACATAATTCTTTTATAATTGAGTTATGTCTACGATCAATTTTTTAATACTTTCACACACATATAACGAACAGAGGATTTACAAAATAATGAGAAAAACAGAAGAGATTAGTTTAAAATTTAACATTATTTTAACATTGTTTATTGGAACAACAGCACTAATTATAACCTGAACAAAGTCTCGGATTTCTTGGACAGCCCATAAAATGTTCGCTGATATTCCCCTACACATAAATAATACACAAAAAAAGCAACAAAGTTACACAGCTAAAAGAAATTGGAGATTATTAGAAGAGAAAAGTTTGTCAAATTAATAGTAACAAGATACCACTTTTTTTTTTCTTGAAAACATTAAAATAGAAACAGGATGTAATACGCGCTCAAGCAAAACAACAGAGAATAATTTTTTTTGAGCATATTAGAATCAAAAGGACTAGAAATAATATAAGTGGATATGTTCTTTTGCCAATAGTTAGAATGTCACGTCATTAGAAATCTGTATAAGGCACAAAAAAAAATGGAAATAATGTCAATCTTTTTTTCAGCGTATTTCGCTACGAAACAGACAGAAAATCAAAACACCATATAGAACATTACAGAATAAAGAAATAATCGATAAAAAATAAATTAAAATTGACAAAAAGAATTACCATTTATTAATGTGGAAGATTTGGTATCATGACATTGGTGGATATTTAGTAAAATAGAGAAATAAGAGAAAAATCACCAGTGGACGAAAAATGATTTGTTACATTAATAATTTATGGAAAATAAAATATTATCATCAGCAGCTGATTATTCTTCAAAATCAGTTGAAGTGCTATAATTCAATTTTTTGTTCTAACACCCAACGCTGTCTCATATCGAATGATGCGCAAACAGCTAAATAGTAAAAAAATTAGAATGTGTTACACAACACTTTCTCGTAAAGCTGGTAAACATACCTAAATGAACTTTTTCATTTTCTTGATTTTGATTCACTGTCATACATTGACCAGTATTCAAATGTTTCATTTGTTTTGTCTGAGAAAAAAAATTGAAAAAAAAAGTAGCCAAATTAGTCTCCTCAGTATAGTTTTCCCAAATTTCATACCACTTTATTGTACTCCCATATTTGTTTTTGATTTTGATATTGACATTTTTGTAATTTAACAACATCATTTTTCGATCCTTCCATGCATAAATCGTCAAATCTTAATTCCCCATTTCGAGAATAGACGATGATCTGTAAAACAAATTGAAAAAAATAAGTAATAAATTAGAGAATAAGAAAGTGAAGAAACGACACATCTTGAATGACTATGCGATAATACATATTGATTTATATGCTCAACAAATGATGACTATCCAATACCTATTAATTAAAAGTAAATGTTCAACAAAATCACTAGTTGGTATATCTTTGTGATTTTGAGACGAGACGACAATTGCGCTAACATTGTAACATTCTAGCCTAGATTAAGACATTGTTTATATTTGTCAAATTTCATCGTACTAGTATTGATATAATGTGGAAATTACAACTGTTGTCAATTGATGCCAACATGCATAGTATGCTTATGCTATGTCCAGAGAATAATAATTAATTTATTATCATGCAGATGAATGAACAGTTAATTTTTTATACAATTGTGTCTGTTGGAGACATGCTGTTCGCCATGGCCAGCTAACTCGGGTAACGTAGTAAAAGTATGTAACGTTTTTTGGTATTTTGTTTCTCTTATAATTTTCGAAGACAAAAATACAAACATCTACTTTTTCAGATAACTTTCAAGAAGTCGGTATTTGTATTTTTGTCATAGTTTTTGAACGAAAAAACGTGTAGACTGCACAGACGTCTCAAAATCTTTAGCGTACTTTTCATTTTAATCTGAGATGTTTCAGATCTCTAGGATTTCGAAAACCATAAGAGAAACAAAATACCAAAAAACCATCACATACTTTCATTTCGCTAGCATAGTTAACTGGCCATGTCGTGTTATAATGTTTCGCTACTAATATCGTTGTTCACTCAAGTTTTAGAAAAAACTGGCTCCGTTTATAATTGCAAAATAAATGCATGATTGAAAAAATCTTATATACATGCAATTTGATAATTATTGCATTCATCTGTTAATTTTAACCACTCTTCATGCATCATGCAATACACAATTTTCTCTACAACAATCGCATCACGACAGCAACAAAGTTCAGTCTTTTTTTCTTTTTTCTTCTCATCCGATTCTACCTGATAAGCTGCTAATTTAGTAGCATTTTTTTTTCCATTTCCGACACATTGTGAAACGAACAATGTACTATTTGGGAGTTTACCAACATATCTAGTATGTACGGTCAGACAAGATGATCGTCCCTCACTTCGTATCTAGAAAAAAGTAAATAAGCATTAAACAAACCTGATTTCCTCCTTGATTGTGACAAGGAAAAAGGCCTGCATTTTGATTTGCACCGTTTTCTGAATCGTAACCGAGACTATCCAAGCAACCATAGGCTTCATTGCGTAACTGCAATAGTATGGCACATGAAATAAAATGAGTTTAGAAAAAAATGCATCACACGCTACTTTCTTCAGTTCAAGTTAAACCAATGAAAGTTGAGGACGAGAGAGAAAGGGCGAAATGTTCATCTTTCTGAAACAATTGTTAACCTAGGTCTAATTACCGCTCCGACATGATGATAATCGACAGGCATTGATGATTCTGGATAGATATTTTCTAAATACCAACGAAAATCTTTACACTTCAATTTTTCACGTAATTTTAAACGTTCACTGACATCCCCACCATCAACATTTCGTAATTCTAAAATATGTAAAGTTCTTATATTAAATTATCGACACACTGAAAAATAAAATATTACCAGGTAAAATTGAATATACCAGATCTTTATATTTGTCTAACCAAACTTCGACTAACCGCTTATTATTATGATATATCACAGTGCCCGTACCACCTGGAAAGGTGTATGGAGTTTGTTTACGAAATACATGTCCCACATGAGAGCAAGGATGAATCATTACTTTTCCACCACACATCCATACCTGTAAATTCCGATGATAAACGAAAACAGAATTGTTTCTTTCTTACATAGTTACATAGTCAAGTTAACAGATACGTACGCGAAATGACATTTCTAAGTTTTCTCCACCCCACACCTAATACAAAAAGAATAAAATTGTATTTATTAATCACAAAAAGCAACTATTTAATCTTTTTTTGCTTACTTCCATGCCTGGGTCATAGGATCCAATTTCATAAAAATATTCACGATTAATTGTAAACAATCCTCCGGCCATTGTAGGAGATAATAACGGCAATGAACGATCATGATTTCGTCTAATTTCTTCTCTTTGTGGCACTGGATACCATCGAAAATTTAATTTCCAATTAAAACCGCCCCATGTCATATCTGAACCCGTTAAATAAGCAAAATCATCATCGTTAATAACATCAATTATTGGACAAACAACGGCTGTTCTAAAAAACCAAACATATCTTTGATTTTAATTATAGAAAATTTTGACATATTTACCTATCTTTTTTCACTTCATATAATAAATATTCTAACCAGCCTGGTGATGTCTCAATATGTGCATCAAGAAACGTTAACGTATCACCACCAGCTATTTCAGCGCCTAGATTATAAACTCGATAAAAACAAAATTCAAAAATCATAATTCATCAATATACCTTTTAATCTTGATTTCATCAAACCTAGTCGTTTATCATTTCGCAGTAGATGTATTTGAACAGGTAATAATTTTATGAATTCTTCCAGTGACTTGTCTAAGTATTCTAAAAATTAAAAAAATACAAAAATCCTAAAGTTGCTTAAGTATCTGGGTGATTAGTTATTACCTCTATCAATGCTTGCATCATCAACTAATATTATCTCATGTATAAGATGTGTCGGACTTCTAATAACAATACTTGTTAATGTTCTTAAAAGAGTTGAATTTCCTTCATTATGAAATACAATAACGATACTTGTGGTAGGAAGATCTGATGGAAATTCATGTGCATGACATCTAAATTAAAAGAAAAACTTAATTAGAGAAAGTATGTTTAACTAATTGAAAACAAAAGAAAACCTTTGTGATCTTTGATCATTTATAGAACGATTTAATGCTATCAAATCGGATGCAACAATGTTAAATTGATTTTCTTTAAAACGTTTTTTTGCTTCTAATTTTAATTGTTGTGGAATAACAACAGCACGACCACCTTCACCATGCCAGGAAGTTGGATTAGTTGCACCTAGACAACAATGACATTTTTTGTTGTTGTTTTTCTCATTGAAATAGGTTCAACTTACTTGCATCATATTTAAATAATTTTTCAAAAAATCCTAATTCTTTTTTTATTTCTGTTTGATTATGTTGTTTTTGTATAATATTAATATCTGCTATTTTATGTGATTGTTCTTTATTATTTGATGTTTGAATAAGTTTTGAGTGTTTTTCATACGTTGGATCCCCTTTAACTGGTTTTATTGATGAACATGGCACCACGATAGTTTTAGCACAATCAGTAAATAACATAAGAATAAAAACATCAATACAGATCCAAAATAGACTAACAAATATAATTACATGTAAGTATTGACGTTTCCACATACGAATTTTCTTCATTAGCATATTTTGGGATGATGATGGCAAATAGGAAGACTTCATTCAAACACTCACACACACACACACACGCACACAGGTTATTCTGGAAAAGAAATAAAAGTGCTTGTTATTATCAAGACGTTGGAGGCATTTTTCTAATGATTGTTCGGTATTTTTATATTTAAACTAAATATCTAAAACATGATTCAGAAAATACAGAATAGAAATATATATTTTGAAAATTCATATTAAAGTCTAAAATTAGTCGGTCTAAAACTTTGCATCTGTCACAAGTAAAAAAAAAATTACATTGGTTGTAGAGTATTGTTCCTAACTTTTGCTTTTGATGCGTCTTAACCCACAATAAATCAACTTTTTTGTTCCTAGACGAAATGAGAAGTTTTATCCTTAATCAACAATTTCTAAAGCTAAAATAACTAAAAATTGATGAGGCTTTCCCTGTTTCAAGAAACTTCATAGACTCTTTAGATTTCAGAAAGTACGTTCTTAATAATTAGAACTTTTTAAGTATTCATTCACCGTTTTGATCGGTTACCTGGCATTCGATACAAGAATGACGAATGTTTCTAAAAAATTTTAGAAGATATTCTCTTGCAACGCCGAATCTCAGGAGATACTACGCTAAAGGAGATATAAGCTTAACTACGGACTTCTAGACAAACACTGCAATAAGGATGGTTTATATTAATTATTGTGACAGATTCAGACAAATATATCTTGGGTGCATTATGAAAAATTCTTCTTAAAATGATGTAGCGCACATTCTGTGTGACACTGAGATACAAAATTTCTATAGTGCGAAGGTTCAAATATAGGCCCGGATAAAATGGGATACGTTTGTTCGTTGTTTTTGAGGTACTGTCCAGTAGTCCAAAGAGTTCGTTCTAAGCTCAATCAATAGAGAATTGAATTATTTCGGCCACTTTGACATGTACACAACATTGTCAGTACCGCTTTCTGGCCAAAAATGGCTCCTTTTTTACCCTACATTCCTCTTAAAATAGTTTTGATCTTCCTCTTTTTTCTGAAGGGATCGTTACGTAGCCAGATTTAGAAAAAAGAAGCATCTAAAGTCGAGAATTTTTCGTTTTTTAGTCGACCATATTTGACCTTCGCACAGTTTTTTATTAGGCAGCTACTAATTCTGAAGTTACCTGCTGTGGCAGATACCTTCCTTCAACCATTTCGTTATTTTCTTCTAGCTTGAAATAGTTGGAGGAGCCAAGATCAAGGCGAATTGACGTAGATAGTCTCTACTTGGAGCTAAATGGAAACAATGCAATGCCTATCACATCACACACACAGACATATACGTTGAAATAAGATTATTTGCTATTTCTTTTAACCAATTGTGTATTACAAAAGCATAGGCCTTGTCACTTTTCTGTATTGTACTGTACATCAAGAAAATTGGTTGAATTTTCTTTGTTTACCACGCATCAACCACTTCAGCAGATCAAAAGTGTTATTCTACTGAGTGGTCGATCATCCACTCTTATAGATGGCACCCTCTACAAAAATGGATAACCGGTCATCCAATAGAACAACATTTTTGATCTGCTAAAGTGGTTGATGTGTGTGACAAGCAAAGAAAATTCAATCACTTTTCTTGATATACAATACTCAAGATTTACAAGGTATGGACATATAACACGAACAATACACGACTGGAAAAGAAGCCAGGTGAACGTACATGATACATACACCTTTACGTACCTGCATAATACATACATACATAATATACCATTAATAAGCGCCCTCCCCCTCTGTAAGTGCTAGGATCTCACGCCCTAGTTTAGCGGTTATCCTGCGCTAGGGGGATTCGCGTGTAAAGGAGCTCTTACCAACCCTGTTCTAACACTACGGTTACACTACGAAGATAATCACGATTAAAGATAATCACGATTAAAGATAATCACGATTAAAGATAATCACGATTAAAGATAATCACGATTAAAGATAATCACGATTAAAGATAATCACGATTAAAGATAATCACGATTGAAGATAATCGTGATTAAACTAGTGTCAATCAATCACTCAATCAAGATTATTTTGAAAATCATGAGTAAAGATCAGACTTCCCAGATGATCCGCATTTTGCGGACAAATTTCACAATTTTGAGAATTGTCTTCTTTTGCTGTTTTTTCCCTGTTTACATATAACATTTAAAAAAAGAATGTTTATCTATTGGGGATACTCTTTCTCATCCTATTGTCAAACCAACACCATCTCCAAACATGCACAAATTAGTTTCGTTTATATTTTCGATTCCGTGCAGTAATTCATACGTCGAAAGTGCATTTTCTTCTTACATTTCTGTTTGTTTTTCTCTTGTGCTTTATTGAATAAAACCACAAAGTGTTAGAGAAAACATTTTTCTGACTGTGCCAGCTCAGGCGCCACAATCAATGCCAATACGGCGGAAAACCGCGTCGATTATGGCACTCCAGCTGGCAACTCTGTGATTGTGCGTGAAAACGGATGAAGTTAGACCATGAAAATGTGTTTCCGCTTTTTGTCCACATTCTGAAAAAATTTTCCGCAAGTTTCTGCATTTTGGGATTTTCATTCCGCATTTCTGACCTGAGGATCTGGGAACTCTGGTAAAGATAATCATGTTCGAAAGATGATTATTTTTAATCGCGAGTAAATTTAACCGTGATTAACTTTAACCGCCTCTATCAAAAAATCATGATAGCGGCGCTTGTGTATGACTGCTCAGCTACAATAACTAATCAACCTGAACTCTGTTTTGCCTACTAAAGAATTTTTCTGGCATTACTCTACTCTATTACAGATCAATAAATAATTAATTAATAATAATTTTATAATAGTAACTTTTTTTTGTTAAAAATGACTACGCAGAGTTACAAGAATAAAACGAAGGCAAAAAGATCTTGCTGGTCTGAGGACGAAACAAACTTGCTGCTAAATTTATTAACAGATGAAATTGATATCGAATGAAATAGTAAATCATGGGAATCGTGGCACTCGAAAAAAGTACAAGAAGGTTTATTAGTAGCCGATATCAACAGATCTATTGATCAGATGAAAGAGTGTTACTGTATTCATGTTAACTTTGCCAACACAAAAATTAGTTTTCTCCTGCGCACTGAGTATTTATAGTTACGGCTATCATGAGTTAAATCACGATTATCTTTTTAATCGTGATTAGTGCGGTTACACACAATTCTGTTCATCGTGATTAAATATCGTTAATCATGGTCCAAAAAAATTGCGATTACACTAGAAAATGTTTAATCGCGATTACCTTTTAATCACAATTAAAGATAATCGTGATTATTTGCGTAATATAACCGTAGTGTAACAACTCGTTCTTATTTATTTCCTCTCTTTCTATTTTGTTCTTTAAAGAAAGATTTAGTTCTAGGAATAAAAATACATGGTTAAACAAACGTAAAAATGACAAAACTGATTTTTTTCTGCAATCAGAGAGAGAGTCAGGGTTTATTGATTGTGAAAAATAAACCCTTTACAAGACTCGTGACCTAAGTCTTTTGCCAAATAAAACAACGGTAAAAATAAAAGGTACATAACATTTTGGAAATATAGCGCTTAGTTCTCTTCCACTGAACAAATGATTGATAATGGCAAGTGCATCTCTTGTTTTAGAATGACTGTCTGTGCGAATATGTTCATTATTCTAGCATTTCCATTAATCATAGTGTGATTTAAATATTTTTCTGAAGTGCGTTTCTTATATTCAACGACTATTTCGTATTTTAGTTGCTGGTGTATGTATTTACTTGAAGTATAAGAAGGTACTCGTAATACTGTTCTTATGCTTTATTTTGTATGATCTGTATTTCATTCCATAGTTATCGTTGTTGATGGAAATAGGACTTGCATAGGTGGCAATTGATCACACCAAGCTTTTATGTAACATATTTAGAGATTTTTCTGCATATTCATCTGTATTCCCTACTAAATCAAACCAATACGAGTAGCGGTTCTCTTTTTCAAATCTTGTGTATGTTTGGTGAGTTTTAGATTCCTATCAAATGTAATACCTAAATATTTGATCTGTTTTTGTAGTGGGATCTGTTGTCCATTCATGTGAAAGCTTCATCATGTTGGTCTCATAATCACTGCAAAATGTAGAACCCATAAGCTCCACTCCATTCTCTGATTTAATGTGTCCAGTACAAAATTCGCTGCCAAAGGTTCTAGGAAGTGTTTGTTTTTCATCAAAAAAGCATGTTTCTCACTAATGTCAGCGAACGATTTGGCGTTGATCAAAGATAGATCGAGATCGATCTCGAAAAACGCACTATGTAGTCGATCCTCGCCAGAACCGCTTTACAAAATAAGCCACGGTCGATCTCGTTTCGAGAAGAGCATGTTGAGGAATCTTTTGAATGAGAGATCAGAACAGCGTGTTACGAGTTTCGGCGATGATGAGACAGCTACTCTGGGTATTGGATGCTGACGAGATAGATGGCTGTTCGCTGAGAATTCGCTGTTCGTTAAGAACTCGAATCTTCGACTGTATTTCTGCCGAACATAAGACGTTCTTTATTTTTGTATGACTGGATAGAGCATTCATTTCTCTACGAACTGTATATTTTGTATCTCATTTATTCCTCATCTTGGCCGAGAATGTAGTGAAATTCTAAAAGCCTTCAACAAGCTTTTTTGCCAGTGGACCTTCGGTATTTTTCTCGCGTGATTATAATCAGC